CTTGATATGACTATGATTGATGGTAGTGATACCAGGAAACAATATTATACAATTATCATGTCACGAATTCTTTTTTTTGGATGAAATTACGTAGAAAGGGCGTGTACTGTACGGGACACATTGCAAGAAGTAGTCCGAATATATACTTTTGATGGTTAAAGCCACTCTTATAGTTTGTATTACGTAATAAGACAAATTAATGGTTGTACCATATACATCAATAAAGCTTATTTGGGAAGATAAAATATGTATATGAACCGCTTTGGGGCGTTACAAAGTGTTACTATGTACAAAATAATGTACAACAGAAGTATGCATATCAGTCATATAGCTAAATATCTATCGTAATGTATACACAAAAAACAAAGAAAATGCAATAAATTATCAATAATTCATTGCATTTTACCCCGGTCCCCAACACCAACAAATCCTCTGTACGGCCATGCATTATGGCTCAAGGCATGGGCACAAAAACAAATTCTATTGGGGATCGGGGGGGGGGGGGAATTCAATGAATTATTGATAATTTATTGCATTTTATTTGTTTGTTTTTTATTTATGGGAACTGTCCTCTTTCCTAGCCCCCGCTGCGAACAGTCATGGTTCAGTGGCAAAGCAATGGCCTCATAACTGTGAGGCCCCATGATCAAAACCGTGTCGATGTGCCATATTAGTGCCCTTTTGTGCGCCATTAATCCTCATTACTGTCATTTATGACTTAAGGGCGTAGGTCCCCTAGTTAATAAGCATATTAGCATACACAGGCATGAGCAGTCACGCAAAACAAACACTGGAAAATTATTATTCAATAAAATCTGAGAATGTATACTATTATCTTGATCTATTAGGAATTAAATCTTTGTTAAAATAATTCCATAAATTTGGGTAAAAAAAAATATTCCAACGTTATGAGCGACAGTGTATAATCCGAACATGATTTCTTGATATAAATATAGAATAGGATAATGAAATTGCCCTTGAGGTGATTTCTCGAAAGTCTTTGCGATTGTGTTGTAAAAAGCTTGTTCATCAAGGGAGGCCTCGTCAACATCAGGTCTGTCCCCTGACTGCCCTACCAATTGCCAGGTACCCATTTACTCCTGGGTTGGGAATGTGGCTTAATATTGTCTTGCCAAATGACGTTATTGTCGTTAACTGTTAATATCAGATTCAATGTGTATGTTGTATTTTAAAGATACACCTTTATCTCAAACTTCAATATATTTCAGTGCTCTTAAAATTACCTTTCTTTGCTTTTTCACCCTCATTATGTTAATTGACTTTGTGTAGATCCTTTTAAAATATGTTCCATTTGCATTTATATACTAGTTCCCGTCAGTTGCTTTTCTAATGTGGAAACAAGTAGAAGTAAACCGAACTCAATATTGACCCATTATTTGATATAGTTTATTGATAAAAACGTACATTCAAATAGCAGCCAGAGGCTGAAACAAATTGAAATTACAAAAGATTGATAAATACAAATGCCTAAAAATTAGATTACAAGATGTGAATGGCAATTCACAATGAATAATCAAGGATATAATCAAAGTAAACAAGAGAAGAGATTGAAACAGATGACTAGAGGATAATAAAAGGAGAACGAGTAACAGAAGGCAATAAGACAAATGTGGTAGAAGATTAGAAGGACTGATACGACAATAAATGAGAGAGAGAGAGAGAGAAAGCGTAGAGAAATGAGAAAGAGAAACTAAGGAGGAGACTACACAATAATAGGGACAGATAAATGAACCTATGTGGGAATACGAGAATTTCGTAGCAAACAGAAGACATTACAGTGAAAAGTCTAGATGTGCGGAGTTCCATTGGAGAAAAAAAATTCGAATACAAATCATTCGTTTCAAAGAGGACAAGAATTTGATCATTAAATTAGTGGCGTAGATCCCGCGGGAGGTAGGGTGCCCCCCCCCCCCTCTCCCTCTCTCCTTCTCTCTCCCTCTTTCTCTCTCTCTCTCTCTCTCCCTCTTCCTTTACCCCTCTCCCTCTCTCTCTCTCTCTTTCCGTTTCTCTCTCTCTCTCCCTCACTCCGCTACTCTCTCTCTCTCTCTCTCTCTTATACCTTTACTCTCTCTATCCCTCTTCCTCTCTCTCTCTCTCTCTCTCTCTCTCTCGCAATTACATGTGCACTCTTACTTTTAAACGGGGAGCTGTTTTGTACAATCACCCCTTCACTTTGCTATTCTACAGGGGTCCACAAATATTCACTGACTGGAATCGTGTGCATTACTATTATAATTGTATTTGTTATTGCTGCTATGTTAACATTATTATAGTTCTTTTTCGTTTATTATTGTCAAAGCTATGTAATTCAATCGCAATCGTAATTTCAACATATTAATGAACACAATGAACATACACGTATTTATCAAAGTGAGACTTATGATTTTGTGGAATAAAATGAAATCAAATTTCTAGTCTTAGAATTAAACAAATAAAGCATTTTCAAGAAAATTAACTTGTAATTGGAATCATCTTTATCAAAGACTAACCCCACCCCATGCTTCAGTAATCAAGTAATAATATGAATAAGTGAGAAATTTCAACCGGTCGCATAAGAACCTGCCAATTTCAATAGATATACATGCATACAAAGGTAAGGTGACAAACGGGAATTTTGAAACACAATTCCCCATAAACTCGTCTTGGCATTGAAAGGTTAGAAATAGTGCAACGGTGTGTATTTAGACAAGTCGCGTATTGAACAGTGCTCTTGGAATGAGGAAGTGCATTTACATTTCAAAATGCATAACTGATAACGTAGTCGTATAAATTGCCGTACATTAAATGTAATGTTCATAAAGTGTCAATCTGAAGAACAGATATTTTGTTTAAATGTAAACATACATAAACATATTATAAACAAATTTTAAGACAAAAAAATATAATATTATGATATTTACATGGTCTATGATTACAATTTTAGTTACGATTTTGAAGTATCAAAACGATTTTACAGAATGTTCATAAACATGTTCATCTGTTATCAAGTGCAACTTGTGTTCGCCTTATTATTTGTGGTGTTTTATAAATACAAATATGCCATTCTAAGATTTAACAGTTCGATATGTTGTAATGTATATGAATGATACATAATTGACAAGAAAATGTAGGATGTCTTTAAGCAGCAATGTGTAGCTCCCAATATAACATAATCCATATTCACAGTATATGAATATTATGTTCCATACATACTTGAGGTCGTCTTCAGTCTATCTGCAAGGACAATTACAACCTGACATCTCCCCCCGGACACTAACCGTAGGACAATTTACCTCCGATAACTACCTGGCTACTGGGACAATGACAAGTACCCGATATTCCCCACCCCACACACACACACAGACACACGCACATACACAACACCTCCACATGTAGGGAAATGTATATCATTATACAGTATGTACCATATTTCATAACAATGACGTCTGATTATTTATAACTATTGAAAGATCCTGGGGCATGGTAAACAAAATTTTGTCCAAAATTCAATTGATTAAAATATTACTATAACCAATGTAATACTAACACAGTGCTAAGAGTAGACCTGTATCTTTTAAGCTTTATTCTACAAGATTTTCCTAAATTCTATGTGTAAAAGTAATGCTTTTTTCCACTTAATTTTGACAATGTTTAGTATCATCTAATTGATATATTATGTGGGATTTTGTATTGCTTGCGAATTAATCCATTTATGTTGTTTACTGAAAATGAAAATCAAGAGATGACAAATGGCTGACATATAAATTGTGTTTTTTCTGAAGCTTCTAATTATCTTAATTTGGAGTAAGTACATCCTCATAATCAGCACCCTCCTTTATTTTGTTTGCATACTGCGCAACATTCTGGTTCTCATAAAACAGGTTTGATGATGGTAGACGACTTTCTCCTGGTTTTTTGGACGAAGCCGTTGAGATGTTAGCCATCTCCTGGTATGTCCTGCCTTCCTCGGGTCTGGGTTGTAGGTCCATGTCAGCACCATCTTTTATTTTGTTTGCATACTGCGCAACATTCTGGTTCTCATAAAACAGGTTTGGTGATGGTAGACGACTTTCTCCTGTTTTTTGGAAGAAGCCCTTGAGGTGATAGCCATCTCCTGGTATGTCCTGCCTGCCTCGGGTCTGGGTTTTAGGTCCAGGTAAGGATCTGGTCCGTTCTCTCCAGTCCTGGCTGGTACTTTTCGTCTGTTACAGAAAAAATATCATATGAATAAATCCATATTAATTCACATTCGCCACTCTCAACCCAGGTGTTAAATGGGTAGGCCTGCCCAGTATGATGCAAAAGTCTTTGTAGTTTTAGTGCTCAGTATTGTGAGCGTCTTTAAAATAGCGTCTGTCTGGAATGGATACCTTATGTGTGGCCAAGCCTGAATCCTAATATCTGAGACCAGAGACCTGTTTCCTAATGAATACCTTATGTGTGGCCAAGCCTGAATCCTAATATCTGAGACCAGAGACCTGTTTCCTAATGGATACCTTATGTGTGGCCAAGCCTGAATCCTAATATCTGAGACCAGAGACCTGATTCCTAGTGGATACCTTGTGTGTGGCCAAGCCTGAATCCTAATATCTGAGACCAGAGACCTGTTTCCTATTGGATATCTTATGTGTGGCCAAGCCTAAATCCTAATATCTGAGACCAGAGACCTGTTTCCTAATGGATACCTTATGTGTGGCCAAGCCTGAATCCTAATATCTGAGACCAGAGACCTGTTTCCTAATGGATACCTTATGTGTGGCCAAGCCTGAATCCTAATACATAAGACCAGAGACCTGTTTCCTAATGGATACCTTATGTGTGGCCAAGCCTGAATCCTAATACATAAGACCAGAGACCTGTTTCCTAATGGATACCTTATGTGTGGCCAAGCCTGAATCCTAATACATCAGACCAGAGACCTGTTTCCTAATGGATACCTTATGTGTGGTCAAGCCTGAATCCTAATACCTGAGACCAGAGACCTGTTTTCTAATGGATACCTTATGTGTGACCAAGCCTGAATCCTAATATCTGAGACAGAGACCTGTTTCCTATTGGATATCTTATGTGTGGCCAAGCCTGAATCCTAATATCTGAGACCAGAGACCTGTTTCCTAATGTATACATTATGTGTGGCCAAGCCTGAATCCTAATATTTGAGACCAGAGACCTGTTTCCTAATGGATGCCTTATGTGTGGCAAAGCCTGAATCCTAATATCTGAGACCAGAGACCTGTTTCCTAATGGATACCTTATGTGTGGCCAAGCCTGAATCCTAATATCTGAGACCAGAGACCTGTTTCCTAATGGATGCCTTATGTGTGGCCAAGCCTGAATCCTAATATCTGAGACCAGAGACCTGTTTCCTAATGGATACCTTATGTGTGGCCAAGCCTGAATCCTAATATCTGAGACCAGAGACCTGTTTCCTATTGGATATCTTATGTGTGGCCAAGCCTGAATCCTAATATCTGAGACCAGAGACCTGTTTCCTAATGGATACCTTATGTGTGGCCAAGCCTGAATCCTAATACCTGAGACCAGAGACCTGTTTTCTAATGGATACCTTATGTATGGCCAAGCCTGAAACCTAATATCTGAGACCAGAGACCTGTTTCCTAATGGATATCCCTTTTACACTGTTGCCCATAAAGATGGAAGAAACAAAAATCTCACTTTTTTTCATGAAGTGACTCTGATATTATGGTTTACTCTTGATAGAAAACGTTTATAACTTTAATGATCAATTTCAAGAGTCATAGAGATTGATTAATAAATGTCTGAGAAGATAAACTTCACATATCAAGAATAAGCCATATTGTCAATAATTTCATGAAAAGAGGTAAGAAAAAAATTACAGGGGTAATAATCAAATCCCTCGATCAACTTATGAACTTTATGATGCATAAACTCCACGATAGAACTGCATTGGAAAAAAGGTTGCAATGATCAAAATTATTGCTGATTCGAAACAATTTAATTCAATTATTGTCATATCTTAATTTGTGTTAATAAACTCAACGGTTGAAGTCTGATTCGAATCTAGATTCAAAGGGTCACATAACCTTTATTCCAGATGAAAATCTAACGTACACATTTTGTTACAAGAAGTATGACGATTTAGCCCTCAAAAACTTGTTTATTCATCGTGAATGTAGTTCCTTCCTGCAATTGTGCAGTTTCGTCTACTTATAACTCGTTAAAGGTGAAATAATAATAATAATAATTATGGGCATTTCTATAGCGCCGTCTATCTATCAATTCTATTCCGAGGATCATTAATACATGTAATTACCCCGGCATTTCAAGGAATTAATTCCCTGCCAGGTACCCATTACAAGGCTAAAATAAATTGCATAAACCTAGAATTACCTGAACTGAATATGCAAGAAAGTAATAGCAACTGCATACAGCAACAGGGCTACAACAACTACAATCAGGCCGATTTGCACTCCTGGAAAATGAAAAAAAGGAAATTGTACATGTAACAACAGATAACGCCTTCTCTCAAGTTCTATCTTGGTTCACATGATAAAAGTACCCTTCTGCTTTTTACTTGATTAATGATACTGCTTTAAATCTGGTCTGGTGTACAAATATTCAAAATGTAAAGCGCTTAATAGGTATTATAAGATGATGACGTGGATCCTGATCAAATGATTGGTGGAGAGCTTACACGTGACCAGGCATTTATTTTGCCTAACACGTAAATTTGAAAATGACCGGTCATCATCAAATGCTAATGACCGGTCATCATCAAATGCTAATGACCGGTCATTAGTAAAATTATGTTATAAAACATAATTTTATAAAACAAATAAAACATAATCTTATAAAACAAATAATACATATCATTTTGTTCGGGCATTAGTCAAATTACCCACACTCGGTATATTCGAAACAGTCCAAACGCCCTCGGCTATCGCCTCATGCGTGTTAGACTGTTCCAAAGGTACCTTGTGTGGGTAATTCTTACTAATGCCCTCACTGCTGTGTATTATTTGTATACTATTATACAAAAATGACTATTATTGTCATAAGAGTTATTGGAAATAAAAAACTAATGAAGACTCAATTAATACTCATTTTATTCACAGCAGGTGAGAACAATATAGTGCAGTTCGATGTGATGAATCTCCATACCACTATCATGGACCAAGCCCACCCCCCCCCCACGGGTCAATGAGAACGAATGTTCAGAAAACAGGATTTCGGGGATCTTGTACACAATGAATGTAAGTTTATTATGGAGTAGACGATCTTTATATCAATGGATTGTATAATTTTTTCGAGAAAAAAATGACTTATAACACATGTAACTATGGGATTTGTCATTTTAAATTTTACTTAAAGATTTTTCATTATCCTCTGGATGTCTATGGGATTTTTACATTTTAAGTTTTACTTATAGATTTTTCATTATCCTATGGACTTGTGGACTATTTTGTTATTTGATAACGTTATACCGTAGTTTGACGTAATATAACACCTTGACGCCATATCGTCGTAACGACGTAGATTAATGCCGTAACACCGCAATTTAACACAGGGGATATAACGATATCCACAACGACGTTGACGGATCATTTAACTCAAAGATTAATCACCAACTTTTCTAGAGCATCCACTCTCTTTTTAAGGTCTACCACTCGTCTATGCGATAGGACCTATAGTCAAACTACGGTATTACATTACCAAATAACAAAATATGTAAAATGACAAACTATATAATTATAAAGATTCAATTTACTTTGTATCAACTCCGAGCTAAACATCATCGAGTCAACATGGATACTTTCGATATGTCCAATCGCTACGCTTGTTAACTTTGCGATAGGACCTATAGTCGCAAGTTCGACATAAAGAGACACGAACAGAATGTACATCCTGATATGAAAAGAGCGTGTATAGGAGAATGAAGATTCCAACGCTGGTGAAGAAGCTAGTAAAGATGATTTCTCCGAACCACCCTCTAAAAAGCAAAGAGTTGTAGAATCTAGCGATGATGCTGAAACAAGTGATTCAGAAAGTGAAGAAGAGGATGAATCGTCAAAGACAGAGACAAATAATGAAAGAATTTGAGGACAATATCAAGAATGGTTAGAACAGGCCATGACAACCACCGAGGACCTCAGGGACGAAAACTATCAAAACTATATCTCCGAGGGAATGGACGAAGAAGAAGCTAAAGAAAAGGCTCACATGAAAGTTATATTAGCCGTCAAACGCACCTTTTTCGATATTTACTATAAGTTCTTGCAGCAGAGCGTGTACCTTAGAGGAGCTGACATCAATCATGAAATTATGTCTGATCTCACGGAAAAAGTAGAAAATGACATGAATCTTCGGAAAGCCGTGCAAAGAGTCTTGGAAAGTGACGGTACCAGATTCGAGGGTTTATTCCAGTATCAGGATGAGGATGACGATGGTTGTGAACAGACGGAGGGTGCAGATGGAGCAGATGTAAGCGACAACTAAGGCTTGACATCATCTTGACAAAGAATACTTCGTAGACAACCCTAATTATATAGATGACGAACTTACCCTATTTTAAAATGATCGATCTTTCTTAGTGTAAACTTGCACACCTGTACGGGTCCAAAAAATCTTTCTATTATGTTTTGTTATACCTATACATTATGTATGCTGTACAACTATTTTCTATATTTTGTAAATATTTACTGTGAAATAATAAAATAATGTGACTCGTATTCTATTTCTCTAGTTAAAATTTGTTTGTATATTTTATCTCTGTCCTCTTGTAACATAATCAAATTGTAATTGTTATCTTTGTATTCAAATCTGTTTTTGATGAAGTTGTCCACATTAAAATGGAAACAAAAATATTAAAATAAAGTCGAATTTCTGTAGTACATAGTGTTTTATTTCATATTTATTTCATATTTTGAGAGAGTTCAAACACAGCTATGAATATATCTAAGTGTTGTGGGAAAGTCCAAAGAATTCTGTGATATGAACAGGTCTGAGTTAAACAAGCTTCAGTTGTCGAAAGTCTTGTGAGAGGGTCATAAAGTCAATGCACGATCGATAGGAAACCACAGTAATATTGCTGAAAAGAGGTAATTCAAATACAAAAGACACTAGACCTATACAAAAAGCAATACCCTTTGCAAATAGGCAGGTGCGTACGCAGGATTTTTTCGAGGGGGGGGGGTTAAAATTTGAAAATCACGCCAAAAATTTCGAAACGACTCAGCCAGCCGCTGAATAAGCGGGGGGGGGGGGGGAGGGGAGTAAGAGCACATTTTTTGTTTATGTGTCCCAAAATTTGAACATTTGGCAGATCGATATTTCGTTTCGTTGGGGGGGGGGTAAGGTCAGCTTTTTGGGGGTCAACTCTTACCACAATTTGTTTTAATTGTTTTTATTTTAAAAAAATAAAAAAGGGGGGGGGTTCCTCCAAAACAAACACATAACAAATTTATGGGAGGTTCAACCCCCCCCCCCCCCGCCTGTGTACGTGCCTGCAAATAGGCTTCCTCCTGTTGCCAGGGGAAGATCACGGTTTGTAATACACATAACCTTGATTCCTTTTCTTTAATAGTTGATCGAACAATAGGTATTGGTCAAACCTCCAACGGCGTTGTCAAACATTCCTCAGAAAGTCAAACACAAAGTATAGAAAGCAAGTCAAAGAGTCCAAATTCCATAGACACTCGTTTTATAAGTCACTTTTTTCATAGGATAATGAAAAATCTCTAGGTAAAATTTAAAAAGACAAAATCCCATAGACCACCGTTTTTTTCTCGAAAATATTATAAAGAAGTTCTACTCCATAATAAACTTCCATTCATGTTGTATAAATCCTGTTTTCTGAACATTCATTCTCATGGACCCTGTACTTAATGATTTGTTTCCCCATAGACGGTAGACCTAACACGTAATCCCCATAATGACTTCTAGTACGACTCCCCGCACACACAAACACACCCTCACACACATACACACAAATGTCATCAAAATATGAAGATAATCTTGCTTTGACCACTGAATAACGGTGCTTTCTATTGCCACTACTGACAGTCACAGTCTTATCGAATATGTTTTATTCACGGAGCACGAAATCACCCTATAGGAAAAAAGCACCCACTTAAGCCCCCATCACACCAAACTAGTTCTCATTACGTTCTGAAAACTTCCTTGAAAATCGTAAAACAGTTTGTGGTCTGGGTAGAATGCGTAAATAATGTGTATTATACGTTTCTAGTTCGTTCATAAACAGTCCTCAATACGTCCATCTTGTTTGTACCCGTCCACAGTCAGTTCATATCAAGTTCAGATCAGGTAAATTTGCCATTTCCAAGCAGTCCAAGGCCGTCCGCAGTCAGTTTAAACCCGTCCTTAACTAGTTCTATTCTACGTCGTTCCCAATACTTCCATAAACATTTTAACTAGTTTGTAACCCGACCACCCCGTTCAGAGACATTTCAACTCGTCCTTATCTCATTCTTAGTGCGCTCCTATAGTGCGTGTGCAATCCTGTCCTGGCTCGAGAGCCATAAACCACCAGCGCGTTCTTGCCATTCCTCATTCCAGTTCAACGCTTCAAGCTGTGCAGGCCAAGACATTCGAGTTGAATCCCTTTTCTAAAGGGTTGAACAAGTAAACGGACCGGTCAAGCTACAAACTGACCCGGTCGTACTTTTTTGGAGGGTTCACTACACGAACAGCCAACGAAACTGACAGCCCATGAGACCGACAATTTAGTCTTTCGGACCTTTGAACAACTATTTTTTTAGGGTTCACTACTCGGACAGTCCACAAGATTGACAGCCTACTAGACCAACAATGCCAGTCTCGTCGGACTTCGATCTAGCCACTTTTCAGAAGGTTAACTAGACCGATGGTCCCCAAGCCGGATATTTCGATATCTTCCCTTATGTATTTCTTTCATTTGTCGGTCTGTCAGTATCTTGGGCTGTCGTTCTACTGAGCTGTCGATCTTTTAAGATGACTCCGCTGTTTAATACATGTTGTTATTTTTTCAAGGGTGATTTATTTTTCTTTGAAGGAACTTATTCAGACTAACATTTGGACGACGAACATTCTGGTTTGGGAGGACATGTAAAATTTTCTGACTGAGTTGATGTTCCAGTAGAAAAAGTAGAATATATGTTAGTAGTGACAAACTCTCTTGTAGATTGAGTAGGTTTGTTAGTCTCCGAGACAGCATGTACTGTGGTGGTCAGCTCTATTGAATGTACCGAAATTGAAAAAGAAGGATAAGGGAAGATTATTCAGCAAATTTAAGGTGCTGTATGCAAGCGAAGTTACGAAAGTGAATAACGCTGTGCATGTGTGATTCATAAAATGTAATTGTTTTGTTTACATTGTGTGAATCTTCTAGGCATCCAACGTACAATGTGTTACATCGATTTAAATGAACTTTTAACGATTTAAACGAACTTTGTGTACCTCCTTAGACATTTCTTAATGGTTCTAGGTTAAATCCATTAAACACTGCCAAAGAGGAAACATTAAACAAGCATTTTACAGACTTGCTTTTCACCAATGCTCCAATAAATATTCATAATCTAAATAATTTAACTTAGAAGAATCAGAATACCGAAGGAAGATCTGTTGAAAAAAAATTAAATCCATATTGTATGAACTTTGTATCATATTCTGTTTGTTACGGCATCTATTCTCTTCTTACATATTTCGAAGCAATTCATTTCTTGGTTGGTTTGATTGGTTTCTTTGTTTAAACTGACTGCTATTAAAGAAAGCATGTGTTTGCCTATACGTCAGCAACCGGGGACCGGCAGCTTTAAGTTTTCTGCTAGGGACATGGAGGATTAATGACGTAACAAAGGGAACTAACACATCGACTTGGTTTCGAACCCGGGACCTTGCGGTTACGCGACTACTTCTCTACCACTGAGCCATACTACCTCAAATGTTTCTTTTCACAGCTATGAGGCTTCGGGTAATATTTACCTGGAGCAGTTTGTACCTTCATCACAGATGTTGTTTTGGCGGTACCTGCACCAGCTGTATAAAAGTGTTTCAAATGCTGATGAAACAGTCGTGGTTATCTTACATAATTTTTTTTTCTTCATTGTAATCTATAGGAAAGTACCTCTATCCCAACATCGTTATGGTCATGGTAAACAAATGCTAAAATTATCAAGTCGTTCTTCGTCTCATTTTTAACCAGAAAAAAACAATTCCAACAATTTCATATCATATATTTTGCAATTTCTTGGATAATGTCTGAAGTTTTTACCTTTCGGCACACGTGGCAGATAAGGGGTTATACCCCAGTCCTGCATGTGTCGTGAATGACTTACCTTCCATCGTTGTGTGATCAGTTGAAGGCACGGATGGTGATGATGGTGATGGTGATGTTGATGGTGGAGATGATGATGATGATGATGGTGGTGGTGGTGATGATGATAATGTCGATGATGACCGAATGCTCACAGTCGTAATCTCATCTCCTGCAAACAACGAATGTTTTGGGGCATGACTTCTTG